CAGACAGTAAAAGAGGCGCACCAGTTGAGGATGACGTCAGCTGCCCTACAGAGGGCGCGTACGTCTCTTCCCGACTCTGAACGTGTACGCCAACAGCGTAACGTGTTGTTCGCTGCGGCCGTCTGAAACGCATGCTGGTGAGCTTGGTCGGAGAGCGGTGTCACCGTGTGGGTTACGCTAACCGGAGGCGTGGGACGCTGGTCCACCTGGACATCTTGCTCCGAGAAAAGTCTCTGTCAGGTTCGGCTCCAGGGGGCACTGAGGGAATTTCCGCTCGGAGAAAACCCCTTTACTCTGGTGATGGGCGCGGACTGTGGAAGCTGGCCCCCCAATCTACCAGGAAAATGGCTGTGGCCTCGTCCCTGTAGGACGTCCTGTTGGGAAAACCAAGGCCAGATGGGATCAGGACGGCGAGCCGGGATGGAGCCCAGAAAAAAAACCTTCCCGCCGGATCATCCGAACTGGCGGATAAGGCGCGGGACGTAAAAAAGGGTCCCTTCATGTCAGCCGCCTCCTGGGTTATGCCGGGCGAAAACCCCAGAGAGTGCCGTCGGCCGGGAGCGGTGTGATCGCCGATGTAAAACGAGGTGGGATGAGGTGAGCATTCGCTCAGCCCCCTTCCACCGACACTACGCTCTCCAGGAGGGATTGAACAGCGGGGCTGCAGCTGACGTAGCCTGTCCCGGAGGAACCATCCAATTCGCTCCGAGGGTCGGTGATAAGAGGAAAATTACAAGATGGCGTTGTCCAGTGTGCAGCGACCTGTCACTGAGAAATACTCCTCGGCGCTTACCTTGAAAAAAGACTGCTCGTCAGCTTCTCCTCGGGGAGGAGAGCTCACCGGGACGACCGGAGGTCGACGTGACGGGCCAAGCATTCTTAACAAAGGTTGGTCATCTACACAACTTTCCTTCTTCGTCCTTCTGACAGTGCTATTAGCTTGCTGAAGAAAAATGGGAGCCGATTACCCGCTCTTAACGTAATTTATACGGACCAGGTGGGGCCCACACAGCAGGTGGGCATGGACTAAATTTTTCAGTGCGATGCTTCGCATATCGGGATAAAACCCATGAGCGACAGCCTTAAAGGGCGAAGCCTATACGAAATAGAACTAGTTTTACACATGCTAGTTGGTGTAAAGCTATGTAGTTTTAGTACAGTAACTACAGTAGCAAGTTGGCCATCTGGCCTAAAACATTTGATTATGCATGATTGTTTTGAACTGATGGTCCATTCTTGCATGTATAAAGCCACTTTCTGGGAATTCCACAGAGGGCTGTCTTGAAGCACATCAATGAGTTGCCATTTATAAGACAGATCTGGGTTAGCAGGCTTCAGACTGATTTAAGTCTTTCGGATAAAAGATGAAGCATTTCTCCATTAAAGCAACTGTCCAGATGACCTAATTTAACCTTTTTTGTCAATTAAGATGTCTGGCTCTTTTGA